AATACCCTATAAGCAATTTAGAATAAGGCGCCCCTTGTGAAGAAATGGCTTGCATCCAAGAGCAGCCAAGACGCCTCTGCTCCCATGGCAACAACGGCAAGCTTTGCCAAGCGCCACAAGCTTTATTAACAAAATACTGAAGTATGCTGCATGCCTATATGTCCTGACATCAAGTTGGCTGTCCCTGCAGAAGATCTTCGGAGAATATGGGATCATATCGTGACCGTGTATTCTGCGACAGCAGAGCCAGTCAGCTGCAGAATTGCGCACTGCCTGGCCATCTAAGAGATTTCTCAAGATCCTTGATCTTTATCACATGATGACCCTGGGATCCTAACATTGGGGTTTGAAGTTACCAAAACCTTCTCATTTCTTTGGAAACCCTTTGGAAACCCTTACCTGAGCAGGAAGATTCTACTTTCCTGGAGCCAGCTGTCTAACCTAAACCCTGAACCCTAAATCCTAAACCCTTAACCCTAAAACCAGGGTCTCCTCCATGTATCGCTTCACCGGCAAAGCCTCCACTCTCTTCCTACCCCCACTTTGAAGAGCCCCTCGCTTCGTGCTGGAAACTGATTCAGAGCAGGCTTTCGGTGTGCGTGCGTAATTCTAGCTAATTTATTGGGGATTAACTGCAGGTGTCTGCGTTGCCTATGCTGCTGTACAAGTCCGGAGCTCAAGCCCCAAACCCTACACGACGAACTACATCCAAAACCCTGAGACCGACACCCAGTCCTGAACCATGTCGAATCCCTCTTGTCATCCCAGATAAACAGCATGTTTTGTCCCTGACAATCACAGCGGAATCTTCTATTGATTGATTGGGGCCTTGGGATTGAAGGTTCGGTGCCTAGGGTTTAGTGTTTAAGGCTTGGAGGTTAGGGCTTACTTGGAAATGGAAATAGGGTTTAGGGTTTAGGGGGGACAGAAGCCATCTCAGGGCTCGGATGATACAGGGACTAGCATGGGTAAGATTAGGGCTTTAAGGGCTGACCCAAACCCTACACCCTAAACCCTAACCTGTATGATGGTGCTGACAACATTCATGCCACCAGTGAGAATAATCATAAATCATAGGTCGTTGTATTGTCTGTTCCCCTATATACCCCTATACAATCCCGTCCTGAGTAATACCCCTAAACCCTAAACAACAATAATATCCCTACATCGCATGCTTGGAATGAAGACATCGATTCCATCCCTTGAGAAAACCTTAAACCCTTCAAAGGGATTATGTAGGGGAAACAGAGTATATATAGCCGCTGTAAAGGAATTCCGTGGGGGTATATAGGCATGTATACCCCTTTTAAAGGGATTGTTTAGGGACATATAGCGCTTCTGCAGGGATATGTTGTGTTGCTTCAGCCCGTAGACTGCTTTAGACTCGACTCCTTCCTTTCCGGCCAACAGGAGGCATCCTTTCCAGAGTCTATTACTTACAATGGCTTATATAAGGGAACGGAAAACAAAATGGAAACTACTATTTAGGGTTCATGGTTCAGGGATGTTATCCCTGATGATGAAGAATGCAATGTTCGCATGGGGTTTGTGCAACTTAGGGTTTATGAAGGGCGCCAGTTTTGCTTTTGCGCTCCTCTGGCGCCGCGCTCAAGAGAATTGCTGCTTCGCAGCGCTCTGATTATGCAACACTCCCGGCTGAGGGTAAAAGGGTTTAGGGTTAGGGTTTGGGGCTGAATCCTAGTTCTCATATGAATCTATCTTCCCTCATGCGCGGGACAAGCTGGCGGCACTTTCAGCGCGTACGCCAATTCAACATAAAGCTAAGCAACACTTCGGGACCTCCGGAGAGACTCGTCTCCACAAAGTGTCAACCCAGTCCCCTAACGAAGCTTAACTTCAGGGTTCACTAGATCTTTGCAAGGATCAGCTTAGGAATTTGTAAAAAAGGAAAAATGACATCCAGTTTTGGGGAAGGGATTTCCAGCTATACATGCTCTGGAACTCACCGCACACCTTCAGCGTGCTGTCTTACAGCGATACACTCAAACCTGTGCAGGAAGTCGCAAGGTTTGAGGTTTTGAGCTTACGGTACCAGGTTGGGAATTGAAGGTCCTTCTTCGGGAAATGCTTCGAAGATTAAGCGTGCACATGCAAATGTTGTAAACACAAGAACACCAGTTCGACTGTGAGTATGATTCCTTATTCAGGCCTTACTGCATCTTACCCCCTAAATCCAAAATCCCAGTCCTGAACTCCAAATTCCGAATCCTAAACCTTTCAGGCTTCCTCCGGACCTCTATGATCAATCCATATGCGAGATGTCATTGACAAGTGTGGTTGGTAAGACAAAACCCTGCAACATCTTCATTATGCTACTCAGGTTTCAAGCGTAGGCCCACACGCAGATGGGGTCATGTGGGCTTTGTCCTCCAGCAGTGTGGTAGTTTCCCTAAATAGGGGACCCCAATATAGACCCCAAAATACTATAATCCTTATTATAGGGACCCCTAAAAAGGTACCCCTAATTTTGGGAAACTCCCGTGTGAGGCAATTGTTGTGACTGAGAAGACCGAGTCCCGGGCTCGTCAAAGCTAATCGTGCCATCGTTCGTGGTGTCCAGGACCGAGTACAGCTCCATAGACGCCCCGAAATATCCCAACTGCAGGGAGGATCTGCACTATTGGGGAATCAACATTGCCCCATTGTTTCATACCGAACTATCCCGACTACCAGGGAGGATATCACTATTGGGGAATCAAAATTTCCCCAATCGTTTAATACCGAAATATCCCAACTGCAGGGGTATCTTTTGGACATTGTTGGGGGCGATGTAGGGGTTTGGCTTCGCAAAAGGCATGCCCCAAGGGACCCGAGGAATAGGTAGGGATTATGAGGATAGCATGGGGTCCCGAGACATGGGTTACTTGGAGAAACTCGCCTCAAGAGCCCTCGATTAAGGGACAGGACAAATCCTTGCGGGTCATTACCCCCCTCAAGTAACACCAAACCCCCAAAACAGCAACAAAAAAAGGACCATCCCTTTGAAAGGGGGCTAACTGCACTAGCTTCCATGTTATTTTGGGGGAGGGATGGTGCTTCAGCTTTGTTTTTTCCAGCCAACAGCTTCCCACTTCAAACATGAACGAACCTCAGGCATCGATACTCCAGCATCTGCATTTTCCAATCCTCCTATGCATGCAATGAGGAATATGGGAGTTAATCTAAATATTAGCTCCCCAAGTGCGTGAAATACATACAGATACCCTTATTGTAGTCAGAACCCAGATTTGGAGACCCAGGTTATTGATGTACCTATGTGAAGCATACTTGCGGGCTTCCAACTTTTGGGTCATTTCAAAAAAGATTACATTAAGCCTGGATGGTACCCCTGTTATGGACTCTTACAAGGTAGAGGCAGTACCCAAAGGATATGGCAGTGCTTTACCCCATAATATAACCCTACGGCGGATACTAAAACTCCTGCATGGCACTAAGTACTTTACACTTTGTGAATTATGTTACTATAGTACATTAAGGCCATGCAGGATTTTTAGTATCAACAGTATTTTGCGATGTAATACCCTAAACCCTAAATCCTAAACCCTAAACCCTAAACCCTAATTACTCAGTCTCCTACATTACCAGCCATTCCATGGCCTGGACGTCACAATGCCGGTCTCGAACTGGGTTTGATGGCTTTA